ACCTATTCTTAGCTCCCACTGTATTCTAGTTTAAATTGTAGAAATAGGCTCATGCTATTTTTGAGACTCTATTTACAAGCTCAGGGTTTCTGTTTCTTTCTCCTTTCTTTTCTGGAGTCCTATTTTTTTCTTGACATTTCTACTTTTTCTTGACATTTCTACTTATTGTAGAAAATCCTGACCTTTGTGAAAGGATACTTTCATTGAGATGAATATTCACTTCCATCCTACCTTTCTGACTTGGATTTGCTCTTTTTCTGTTTCTCTGTCATCTGCTTTCTTACTCATCCCCAAACAATTCTTCTATATAGGGAGAGGATGCAGGGATTTCACACTCAATCTCCTTCTCCTTCCATCCAAGCCAAAACATAACTTGGATTCTAGCCTACTTCTATCCCATTTAGATGGGATTCAGCAGTCAGAAAATGGATGAGCTTTGTACTCATGTCAGGAGGAGAAAGTTTGCATTTTTCCCACTAGTTTTACTTCAAGGCATAAAAATGTCTTTGAAAAGCAGAAAGAAATGGGTGAAAGGCTCATGAATGCAGTACAATTCAGTTCTTGCACTGAATTATTGATGAGGTGGTCAAGGTCTTGTTCATTATATATACCTGACTCTTCAGCCTTTCTTGCTTTCCATGATCCTTTTCAGTTTCAAGGGAGAGACTCCCAGGAGGAATCCAGGGAGAGAGTCTTCCCATGGGGATTTTTCAATAATAGTGCTAATGTCCCCATTAAAGGAAGACTCTTGCATTTGCAAAATTGTTGGAGAATTTCTCCTTCCCTTGGAGAAACGATTCGTCCTCTTTTTCTGGAGCAGACTTCTGAAATGGCCTTTGTGCCCAGCCCTACATTGTACACACAGAATAGCTTAAGTTCTCTTTGGTGAGCATTATCTTTGCATAGTGCACTGGGAAGAGTAGCCTAAGCAGAAAACATGACCTCAGACTAAGTAGCACCCATTCCCTGAATGGTTTGTAATCTATATCAACCTCCCTCAACCTAACATGGGTCATAACTTCCAGCCTTGTTCATCTGTTGGAAATATGGGTGACATAAGGCCCTACTCAGAGTGCTCACCTCCCTCCAAAGTGAGACTTCAGCCATCTAAAAGAGAATCCTTTTTCCAGATGGTATATTCTTCAGATCTTCCCTCCCATCAGAAAATAAGAAAAAGAGAAAAAGTGGAGTGGGGTATGGTTAGGAAATATTTCAGACTTCTTGGATTCACACTGAACTCAGTTATGCTTAATCAGAGTTTGATTAAGCCACTATCTGGTGAATTTATATATGCATTATACATTGGATTGACTTTACAATGGTTTACTTTACATAGCACCTTAAACTAAGGACACCCCCTGATGACTTAGTGTGCTATGAGAACCTAATCTAAAAGTGAATGCTTGGAACAATGGAACAGAGACAATCAGGAGGACCTGCTTGACCCCTCTTCTCATAAAAATCCTCTAGGGCAGGTTCACTCATTAGTCTGAAGAGACAGGGGCTGTTTCTGCTTCCCATCTTCTCAGCCTTGGACTCAGATCTGTGCAAGCTGAGAATGAGCTGCAGCTTCTTCCATGATGTATCTAGCAGATGTTCTCCCAAATTCTGAATATGAAGGGTATTTAACTGCCAAAGGCTTCAACCCCTTCTGGATCTCCAAGTATATATCGATAGTCTTGAGGAGGACCCAGGACCAGCTGCCTGCAGCTGGTGGCTTTGTGTGTGGAACATGCACAAAGAGTTAAATGGTGATCTTGTTGTGGGCTGTGATGGCCTCAGCTTCCCAGAGCTTGCTTCGTGACTTCCTCTCTCCTGGCTCCAAGCATTTCCTTTAGCAGGCTGTGCACTTAATGAGCCTCTGGGCTCCTTGCTCACGATTCGTGCACCTTGTCATTTGTGGCAGCAAAGAAGGTCACAACAAGAGAGCTTTATACTGTGCAGTGGCGCTTGGGAAACAATGGTGTTCAGGTGGAAGGAGGGGGAAGAATCCTGTGGCTAGTTTAGCTCTCAGGAAGTGTGTGTGAGAGACACAGAGAGAGTGAGTGAAATATGGACGGTTTCAGGAGAAATA